GAGAGAGAGAGAGAGAGAGAGAGAGAGAGAGAGAGAGAGAGAGAGAGAGAGAGAGAGAGAGAGAGTCACAGATGATAATTCTATGCTGCTCATGTCAGTTCTGGACCGTGAAACTGATTTGTCTCTCTTTCGAAATTGATAAAGAGTGATTTTGTATGGCATGTGTTACTAATTTCAATTTTCAAGGAATTTGTCGTCTTGCAATGTCTGCGCGGGCTTCTGCCCGCACTGGGAATGCTAGTCAGTCTTTAAATCTTTGCATGGCAAAAAAATATCACAGCAAAAGAAACCTTTTTTTTCCCCCCCTTCTTCCACCGATAGGTCCACACGTTTTTGGTTCGGTAGGCCAGGCTGGGAAAAAAAGGAGTGCCAGTCTGTTAAAAATTAAAATACTGTTGCGGCCCGTGGTGGTTTAATACTTTGAATGATGGGACGCTAATCCTAATCCTTTCTGAGGGTCTATACAACGCGATGCGCTCCACAGGATTTGGGGACGAGAGCAGCAGAGGTGGGTGTTTGTTGAACGTGGATGGATAATAGTTTAGGCCGCTGGGCGCCATTGCACAACCGGATTGTGTGTGTTCGTTATACATGTCATCTAAATGACCGATCGATCATCATCTGAATGTGTGTTGATTTGCATGCAATTGTTGTGCGTGATTGTGAGTGTCGGTCGTCGAGCTGTGAGTTTCAACTTTGATCTTGATGCAATTTCTTCTCTCATTTTTCAAACACGTCTGTCGCTGCCATATACATTGCGCAATCGCTCTTTCTTTTCTGAAGTTTTTTTTTTTCTTTTTCCCCTAAAGAAGTCGTTGAGACGAGTCTGACCACACTGCCTCATAAGCTTATTTTGCTCTTCCTCCCTTCTCCTCGCCTTTTCCCTCCTCGTTTCTCCTCCTCCTCATCATCATACATCATCATAATCATTTATTGTTTTTCTTTATCTTATGAATAAGTAAAATAATGGCTTAATAAGTTAATAATAATAGCATTATGATACCACCTTCTCATTTGCCCAATTTCCATCCGGGGGGGGGGGAGGGGGAGGGTTGTCATATTTGTCTTTCTAAATTTACTTTTGGTGGGCAGCTGGTGCTTATTGCCCGTCTTGTGACAGGACTGCTCAAACATTCGATCAATGCTTCAAAATCGTATATTGCCGATCATACAGGGCGTCATGACCGGGCCGTTGATCTCGGAAGGTATGGTGGTAAGCTTCCCCCTCCTCTAGATCCAGCTTCTTTCAAACTGCCTTTTGGCGCTTGTTTTGTTTTGTTTGTTTTGCGATCAACTGGGTTCAATCTTCAAAAGCCCTACGGACATAGGCCAGGGTCGTCACATTTGATCTAACTCAAGAGAGAGGGGGAGGGGGGGGGGGGGTTGAAAGTCGTGTCTCTCGTCTTAGAGGGGTCTGAGAAAAGCCCTCCCTTCTTCCACTGAATACAACGTACAGTCATTATAGCTGTATTTGAGGCATCTTTCAGTCTAGATACAGCTATAATGACCGTACGTTGTATTCGGGGGAAGAAGGTAGGCTGTCAACAGGTAGAGGGTCCGGGGTTAAATGAGGCAAGCTTGGAAAATCAAGAGTCAGACCCAACCCGGGTCAACCATGGCCATAGATCAGATGCACAATCGAAGGCTGTGTGCGTTTGTCCAAGAAGATTTGAGAGCCTACTAGGTCCAGAGTCCAGACACACTGAGGTCGGCAGCAAATCTGGGCTTCCCTTTCAAACAAACAAACAAACAAACAAACAAACAAACAAACAAACAAACAAACAAACAAACAAACAAAAAAAAAGAAAAAAAAAAGGGCTTCCCAGATGGAGAGCAATCTCGACCATCAGAGGAGGCAAGCTGAGCCAGGCCAAGGCGGGTGTATGCGGTGTATGCTACAGAAGAGCAGCCAGCCCCAGCGCTGATTCATTCTGCATTGCCTGCGCTGGTGGCCAGAGCACTGCTGGGCGAGCTAGACAGAGGAGTGAGGCTGGCGCCAGAGAGAGGAAGATAGCGCCAGCCCAGGAAGAAGAGAGAGATTGGTAGCGATAGATAGGAAGGGGTGCCCAGTGCCGTAGCTGTGGGATAGAGGTAGAGCAAGGAGGGTGATCAGGACCGTGAGTAGGGAGAGAGTGAGAGAGAGGTAAGTTTAGCTTGACTTATCTGTGCGCTGGTGATACTGGAGCTGCTGCTGGCTAAATCAGGAGAGGCTGAAGAAGGCGGGCGCCAACCTCTGTACCCAGCATTGATGCTGGAGGGTTGGCCACCATAGCTGGTACCTCAGAGAGACTTCATCAGTGTAATCAGGGAGACACTTCCATTGCTGAGGTGGCGGGTTGGTGTAGGAGGGTCCCGGGGGTGAAGAGGGGTGGAGGAGCAGATTCATTTTTTTTTATTTTTTTTTTAAATAATTTGGACCATTTCTCGATTTATGCGTGTCATCCTTGAACAGGGGCCATGCTAATCTTCTCTGTATCGTTCCAATTTTAACGGATGTCCGTGCAAGGAAAATGAGCGATAGCGAACTTCAAAAACCAAGCAGCATCATACACATGTAACCAGATAGTCGTGACCTTGAACCAAGAGCAGAATTGCGACACGAGTTCCACCAAATAAGAGCACAGCAAAAGCTCATAAGTGACAATGTTGGAATAGTCTCATCATCATCAACAAAGAACCAATGTCGACTTCCTATCTGGCGCTGGGCGCCCAGGCTACAAATAGCAGATCCTATCTGGCCTATCTACAATGCCGCTGGTGACGTCAACAGCTCCCCGAAGTACGAGCAGATCTTGGCCAATGCCGATCGCCTCAAGCACCAGGTATGCCTCTCGTATCACTCACAACCTCGATCCCCCACTCACAGATGCCACTTGCACCCAAGGACCACCATACGCCCCATCCAGCTCAGCGCAGCGCAGCTCGGCTATGGCTGCCTGCTCTCCCTGCTCGCCCGTGAGCGCGTGGGCCTGACCAGCGTTTAGCGCAGCAGCACTTGCGCAGCATGCAGCCAGTGCCCGAATGCCGAATGTGGTGGCAGGCCCTTTCCTAAATGGAGGTGGCCTGCCTGCTGCGTGCGGCCTGGCTGCACTGGGCCCCGGCCCACAAACTTCAGGTAGGCCCCGAGAGGCTGAGCCTCAGTCCAAACGAATGAGGCCCAGGGCCTGTGGTGGTTACCCGTGCCCAACTCCCCGCAGCCTGTGCTTTGTCCATGTTGCGTATCTGACCCAGGGCCTGCCTCAGTTACATACGATAAAGGCAGCCTGGGCCTGGGCGCTCGCAACTGCCTGAATTTCCCCAGTTGTGTGGTAGTCCAAAATAGGCCTAGGTCGGGCCTGCCTTCACTTAGGGCGGCCGACCTTGCTGATAACAGAGCCCAGTAGGGCTTATCGAGGCCTTGTGCCTTGCACAGGCGCAGATTCAATTCTATTATTGATTATTAACGAAATTATCCTCCCTCTCTCTCCGTTGCTTCTCTACCTTTGTCTAATTTCTGGTGAATCACTGCTTTTTTCCTGGGACCACCATGGTAACCGCAGATCCGGACACGTGACCGATCAGGAGTAAAAGCCAGATACGGCGGGATCGATCCAGACCATACTTGCAGCGCATAGGTGAAGTGCACTGCACGGTGCGCTAATCCCAGGTGCGCGCGCGCCAAAAAAAAAGAAAGAAATAAAAACGTGGTGTGTGTATAGTACTGTATACGTGCTAGAGAGAGAGAGAGAGAGAGAGAGAGAGAGAGAGAGAGAGAGAGAGAGAGAGAGAGAGAGAGAGAGAGAGAGAGAGAGAGAGAGAGACCACAGAGCCCTTTCACATTATTCAGAAAACCCCTGCCGGTACTTCAAAAGGTCCCTGCCAAAAATTGGCAAGGGTCCCGTCGGCAGGAGCGGGATGATCATTGGACGGGTCGTCACTGGACTTGTAGAAAGGAGGGAGCAGGGCAGGTATATATGGTGTAGCTTCGAATTCAGGTGTTTCAGCAGTTATGGGTTACTGACTTACGAACTCGGCATGTGATTTTCAGGGCTTCACTCCACTACTCACCAAATGTGCAAAACTAGAATGAATCTTCTGCTAGAAACTGGATCCATACAAACCATACGTTTTTCTTTTCTGCAAGTGCTGATGAGTGGAGCGAGGCCCTTAGGGCCACTGCATGCACGTAAGAAAATGAAAAACAAAAAAACGAGACAGCTACTGTATGTGCAAAACTAGAATGAATCTTCTAGAAACTGGAACCATACAAGCCATCGGTCTTTCTTTTCTGCAAGTGCTGATGAGTGGAGTGAGTCCCTTAGGGCCACTGCGCATAAGAAAAAGGGAAAAGTAAAACGAGACAACTTCTGGAGTGTTTGTAGTAAGTTTGTAACCCATAACTTTTTGGAACACAGAGGTGAATCCGAATCCAGGATATATTGCTGGCCTACTCGAGGTCTTCCAGCAGTCCGATGGACGTCCTTCCAAAAGCACGAAAACCCTGCTAATTACTTGCAGGGTACTTTTTGGGAAGGAGAACATAACCAATGAGTAGTACGAAGAGGCCCCAAAATATTCTCTTTCTGTGCACTTACCGTTTTTAAAAGGGAGGGATACTTATGGGTACGATGACCTACCCTGTCTGATTTTTTTTTTTTTAATTATTTTCTAAATGCGCCGCATCACGTGTGCGCATGCGTTGTGCGGCGCACGTGTGCAACTTGCGCGCACGTGATGCACCGCATGTATGATCCGGACATCCGGAGAACTGGACTGCCACTGGACATCCAGACCATACCGGACCCGAACCGTCCGGATGGGTTCCGCAGACCCCTCGGAACGAGAAAAAACTTCAAAAAAGTAGAAAAAAACAAAGACAATGAACTCAAAAAGTTTCTTCGAATTATCTTGCCATATATTCCTGTTCAAAGTATGCTAAGAAAAACGATGTTGCTTTACGAAGATGCTACATTTCAACAACGCTGGATCTCTGAGATGAAATTATTGAATCCTAAATTTTCGGAACAGATTGACTTGATATTGCAATCAAAAAAAAAACTCAGAGAATGATATAGTCCATTTTGGATTTTTTTATTTAAATTGAAAATGACCCTGGTAGTCCATGCCGTAAACGATGAGTGTTGGTCCTTGGTCTACGCCCGCTGGTTTTAGGGGGCGATTCGATGAGGGACCTAGCTAACGCGTTAAACACGCCGCCTGGGGAGTACGGTCGCAAGGCTGAAACTCAAAGGAATTGACGGGGCCCTGCACAAGCGGTGGAGCATGTGGTTTAATTTGATACAACGCGCAAAACCTTACCAGCCCTTGACATATGAAAGAAAATCCTCGTAAGAGATGTACTTTGACTTCATACAGGTGCTGCATGGCTGTCGTCAGCTCGTGTCGTCAGATGTTGGGTTAAGTCCTATAACCGTATAACGTTAGTTTTCTGCACAACATATTTCCCAGAATTTTTGGATTTTTTTCTTTTTTTTTCCCCAGACGGACGATGGGCCTTCCCTGGCCCTTCTTCTTCCGTCGGGGCGGCCCAGGTGACCAAGGTGACCCTGGTGGTCCAGCTGGTAACACTGTTTATTCATGCATTTAAAGAAGCATTCTGTAGCATTTATTGATTTTTTTCCAAAGGGGATAGAACTCTTAACAGCATGGAACCGAACAGCACTTGAGCGCGTAAGCTCTGTGGGATGAACAGTTCTCGAGGAATGTGTACCCACCATAGAACCGCAGGCTGGTGCAAACGCTTTTCCGGGTTTTCCCTATTCGAACGCAGCCAAAACATCTGCATCATCTGTTTTTTTTCCCCCCCTCCTTCGTTTCTTCTTCTTTTTGTGTTCTTACTAACTTCTTAGCTCTTTCGACCTTCTTCCCCCGAATACAACGTACGGTCCTTATAGCTGTATTTGAGCCATCTTCCAGTCTAGGTGCAGCTATAATGACCGTATGTTGTATTCGGGTGAAGAAGGTAGTAGTACGGTTTGGCGCCCCTCTTCTCCTCGTTTTGTTCGGAAAAGAAAGAAACCGTGGCTCTTCTCATCGTGAAAGGATTTCAGGCTGCATACCTGTCCCAGTCCTGGTACCAGAGTTCCAGTTGGGCGCTGTCCCAGAGGGTCGCAGTCCCAGGCAGTCCAAGTAGTTCGAAGTCCCAGGTCGGTAGGGTCCCTTAGGGGTCCGTAAATCGAAACGTCGCAGTCCGGTAGAGTCGGGTACTGAAGCGTCGTCGGTCAGTACAGGTCCGCAAGGTACCGACAGGAATAGTCGTGTCCCGGGAAAGTCCAGAAACATCTGGAACATCAAACATGCATCATCCAGGCCACAGGCGACCAGTACCGGTCTGAAGCAGGCCAAGACCAAGTCAACCATGCTATTTATAGCTGCTACAGTGGCAGCGCCAACCAGTTGTTCATTCACAAGTTGCGGAAGTGCCTGAAGGAAGAGGACGGAGCTGGAGGGTTACCATAGCTAGGGTTGGGAGAGAAGACAGCGGCCATATCCGCCAAGCTTGGGGACAGCAACACGCGGGTGTATTGAGGGTAGATCCTTGGTGGGGTAGAGAGAGAGAGAGAGAGAGAGAGAGAGAGAGAGAGAGAGAGAGAGAGAGAGAGAGAGAGAGAGAGAGAGAGCAGTGAGGTTGAGAGATAGAAGTGATGAGAGTTACAAGGTTGAGCGATCCAAGATAGATCGATATGTTGTCCTCTTCTCTCTCTCTGCCTACGGTTTACCGGGCAGTTCTGTTTGTGACGATATATAAACAGTTTGTCACAGCCCCTCGTTTGTTGTCCTCTTCTCTCTCTCTGCCTACGGTTTACCGGGCAGTTCTGTTTGTGACGATATATATATTATATACCCGATATCACTATGTATGCCAGTATGTATTCCAATTGCTATCTTCGTCTATATCTCCATGTATTGTGTACCCGTGCAAGCAGTGAAATGTAAGGCATAAAAATAACAACACAAAAATAACTTTTTTTTTTTGTTTTC